TGATTAAAGTATTCTGTCGATTCAAACTGTTTTTAATTCTTATCTGTCCTTATCTTACAAAAAATGTTATTTAATTTAACGTGCTGCCAGAATTGCAAATCATATCTCATTATTATTATGTCATACTTGCATTCAATGTACTAACTTTAAAAATGCATAGAGGTATTTATAATTTTGAAACATAATTGTAAAACGTTTAAAACAAATGATCAAAACGTTAGACAAAGCTAAAGAAAATAATAATTGTGACAATAATTAATATTAAATTAATTATTATTGGTACATATTAATTAATTAATATTAATATAGAATTAAATATAGAAATTTAATTTATTTGTTACCAATAGAAAATTTTTCTATCGTAGATATTAATTTTTTGCCACTCTATCAATTTGACATTAAGGAAACTAAAAAGATGGAGATTGATACAAAGTGACTTGCACTAACAATAAGCCCTATAATTGCATAACATAATACTTTACAGCTTAAAATCAATATCGAGGCAGCCATAAATCAATTGTACTTGCGGTACATTCGTGGTTGGACCTTAATCCGTCGTCGAATGGAGTCCTTGCAAGAAGAAGACACACTGAAACAGCGAATCCTAGGGAAAGAAAAATACCAGGAAGTGCTAAACAGCCATCTCGACACATTCCGCCAGCTTCACGAAGAAATGACCGCCAAGTACAGATCCTTCGTCGCCAAAGAGAAAGCTGTAGCCAAGAAGTTCAGATCTGAATTCTCGTCTCTGAACAAATTCCAAGTCGAACTGCTCGCGCATCAGTACAATCGTAGGCCAAAGATAACCACGAAGAATCTCGTGGCCTCTGATTTCTACGAACTGGCAAGTCACGTGAATTCTCACCTGCCGTGCATCTACTTGCCAACCGAATGTAAGGATTACTTGAGGATCTTGAATCACTTGGATGCTCGACCGGCTACTCTTCCGCTGACTATAGACGCGTCCCACTGGGAAGAATTGATTCGTCTGCGACGCGTTAAGATCGATTTTGAGTTGAGAAGCAAGGCGCAACAAATGGAGATCGCGGACGTGGACGTCGTGATCCTTGGATTCGAACAGAAGATAGAGAACTGTAAAACAGACGTGGAAGATATGAGGAAGAGTTTGATCGAACTCAGGAAATTGAGGAGGATCGAGGAGCTGGACGTGGAGATACAACTGGTGTTGAAGATGGGCCAAGTGGAGATTCAGCTCGAGGGGGAAGTAAACGATGCGCAGAACGCGATATTTGTTTCGAAAACGGCCATCGAGAGTGTAAATGAGCTGATCAGGGCTGCTGGAGCGTGCAAGCTGAATGCTTTGTCTCGTTTATTGAGCTTTCAGAGAGGTAGTGTTTTTTTTTTGTACGGTTATACAAATTTCGATTTCTTTATTCTTCATGACGATTGATTTTACGGTGGTCTCTGCTTTTGACTTCAATTGCTTATCGTAACTAGATGACGGATATTTATACAAATTCGCATTTTTTATGAAAACGATCGAAGAAATCAAAGCTAAACAAAGATTTAATTTAAATGCTAAATCTTACGACGAGTACTTCATTTGAGATATTTTATATCTATATTTCTGCGTATAATATTCTTTTTTCAGTTTTTTGAATTTAGTAATAGTATTGGACTTTAATTATATTCCAATTGAAGATAGAAGAAATTGTGAAGGAAAATTGCTTTAGAAGTTCTATTATTAGTATATATAGTTTCTTTTTTTTTTTTTATAGAAGCATTTCTATAAAAATCACATTGCATAATAGAGCTTCGTAAATAACGTGAAATTTTCCGCCATAATTTTTTCTATTTTCAATAATAGATTAAACAGAGTAGAATAGAGTATATTAATTTTTTGATAGGCGGGAAAAATAGTATAATTCAGAATTACCATTCATAGTAAGTATTTATTAAATTTAGAGTGCAACGTAAGCTCAGGTGTTAGATTTGGATGTAAAAACATATGTCTTATTGTATAATAATAATATAACATACAATTATATTACATTAATATACAGGATGATCTAATAACAATTCGCACTTGAATATATCCGTTGTTTTTGAAGATACGAGAAAATTTTGTTCACAAAATTATTTAGCATAGAGGCGATTGCGATTGAATGAAACAGATTTATATTTAATCCGAGATTGAGAGTCATTAAAAAGATCGAGATAAAAATCTTCAAATCCTGAATAAAATTGCTCGAGTTTGACCTTTTCTTTTTTTGTAAATCCTGGATCTAAGGGAAGGAAAAATTCCCTAACATATATCTAGAAAATGCATTTACGTTAAATTCAACTCTAACAAAGGAGTACAATCAATTTGATCAATTTCTTGCCAATTCACCTGCTTCGTATAATTGCATATTTCCACA